CTTAACTATAATCTAATATTATATTTCTAAATAAAAAAATAATTCTTTAGGCAAATTAAAAAAGGTCTAAGGGACCAGACCTTAAGAAGGGGAATAAAGTTTACCTTTAGTAATAAAATATTCATACTAAGTACTAAAGTAGTAAACTTAATTTTCTTAAAATCAGACTATTTAAAATTAAAAGGATTATAGGACTAGTAAATTATAAACTGTAATTATCTAAAAGTATAAGGATATACCTTATCTTTTATATATTATTATTAGAGAAAGTAGATCTAGAAACTCCTCTTAATAAGGAAACTGAATTAGAAGATCCTACTAAACAGAAGTATAAAATTAAGGAGATCTTAGACTACTAAGTTAGATAATATTAACACTTTTACCTTATAAAGTAGAAAGACTACCTACCAGAGGAAAACACTTAGGAACCATATAAGAATCTTAACTATCTATTTAAATTATCGCGATTCTATTATAAAAATCTAATATATCTGAAACCCCTTAGATTTTAATAATCTGGTTAAAGATAGTGAGATTATCTACAAACTTATAAAGCTCACTATTAGAATAATTACTATTTCTTATTTATTCAGCTTCTTCTTCCTCTTCCAGTTTATCTATTAAATAAATTACTTTTACCTTTATATAATTCTCAGCTATCTTTAGAATTTTCTGACTTTAGGAGAGTTAGGCCAGAAGCTTTTATTATTTGGTGTTTAGTTATTGTTACTTTATATAAACTTCTGATAATTCCTTAAGACTCTCTTCTATAGCAGATTTGGCTTCTTCCCTAGTCTTATCCAGAATTTCCTAGGAAATGTTAATATATTTTATTCCTTTATAGGTATAGTTTATATATTTAATACTCTTTAAAGAAGATATAGTAATATAGATTAATCTATAGATTAAATAATATTTATAATTAAGAATTATAATGCTTCCTAACTCTTTAATTTTAGAAGTAAGATATTTGCGGTAAAGAGAAGAGACTAAAGATATTTTTATCTCTTAATTAGTAGCTACTAAACTCTTTAAGTATTAGAAGCTTAGGATAAGCTTACTAAGGAGGGGAATGGTGTTATAAAGTAATATATAATCAGTTATATAAGTAATTATTTTGATTATTTTTAGGAAAATGATTAAAATGAGCGTACTAGCCAATAATTAAGGATTAGGATATTGCTAATTAGTTAGAGTAATTATTCTAATTATTTTACTAAGAATGATTAGAATAAGTAAGGCAATAAGGATATCAGGAAAATGGTCTATATAAACATCCTGTTTTTATAGGTATTATGTCTCTTCGTAATTCAACTGTCTAGCATAGCTAGTAGTTAGCTTAAATATATTCTTATACTCTTAAAGCTCAGACTATTCTAAATTATAAATATAACTACCTTATTATATTCCTTCCATAATAAGCTCTTATTATATATTGCTCCTCTGCTCTAGGAAGCTCAACCCTTCCGAAGCGGCTTACATTAGTGAAGCTAGTCGGTATCGGGAAAGTATTCCTAACAAATATAGAAAAATTTATATCTTTACTAAGTATTAAAATTATAATATTATTACTATATAATAGTAATAAATATAATAATATATATAATATAATATTAAGATATAATAATAAGATATAATAATAAGATATAATAATAAGATATAATAATAAGATATAATAATAAGATATAATAATAAGATATAATAATAAG